CGGGCTAGGTTGGTTGTTGGTTGGTTGGTTGGTTTTTTGTTTAACGCCGCACTCAGCAATATTCCAGCTATATGACGGCGGTCTGTAAATAATCGAGTCTGGACCAGACAATCCAGTGATTGATATCATGAGCATCGATCCACGCAATTGGGACCGATGACATGCATCAACCAAGTCAGCGAGCCTGACCACCCGTCCCGGGCTAGGACAAACGGGAGTGGCTGTACAAGTTCACTTGGTTGATGCATCAATCACTGGATTGTCTGGTCCAAATTCGCTGTCATTAAACTGAAATAGTGCTAAGTGCGGCTTTGAAGAATAAACAAATAAACAAACAAACAGACAAACTCTTATAAACAAGCCATTTGTGAAATGACCTCCCGATGATGACCTCATATTTATCACCGCGCCCCGATCACGGATCTCCCTTGTGTCGTGATGCATATTTTACAGGACAAACTATATTCCTAGAAAGTTCTGCTTGTCTCGTAAGTTGGAGTCAGCCAGGAAGGAAATCACTTAGCATGTCTGTGTCATCGTAAAATAGGACATATATATATATATATATATATATATATATATTTCCCCATGTATTATTAACCGTGGCCGTAATGTGTCGGATGTTGCCAAAATATAACGAATTAAATAAAAAACCTAACTATTGTTTTAAATGTAATTTCATCTCCAATCGAACACCGTTTGACGTATAGGTTTTTTTTATAAGCCTTACAAAAATGGATGAACTACTTTTAGGGAGAGGCGGGTGTCCAGCCGACTAAGGCGCCGCAATTCACTGTATAGAGAAAAAACCTGACTAATATTAGTGTTAGCATTTCATAACATTTTATTCTTTGTTCTAGTGTTTCTGAACTTGAATGAATATTTCAATATTTGAAAACCCAGCTGTTTGAATTCTAAATATTATATACAGTGAAACCTAATTATCAAGAAATCTTCGAGACCGATGAATAATTATTGTCTTACCAATAGTTCGAGACTAATCTAACTTTAACTTGATTATTCATAACAACAGTCCATCCTTCCCACAGAGTCGTCGCAAGACTGACAATGATACTCGCTGGTGTAGATCCACCGTCTGTAATGATATCAGCGAAACTTCTCCATCCGTTCCGGATGCAGATGCTGAAGTCGCTTGTCTGATACAGGCCATGTCATTAATAACCAACCACTGGACCGTCTAGATAAATGCAGCAGTGGCAACACTTTTGGTCATTGTTCTTTAGAACTTTCAACAAATCTGAATAATTCAGTCTCACAGATTCATCGCGATTACTGAATTTGGACCACGAATACTCATTTGTCGTCAAGGTAAGGAGTTGTTATTTTTCAGGAATAATGTTTCATTTCGTGTTCATTCTTTGTCTTTTGTGACCCTTTGCTTACTAACTGTGTTCTTCAAATGTTCCCTTCACTGTTATGTTCACGGAACATATGCCAGCGGTGACGATGAACATCTTCCGTGGAATTAATTTGAATGGGAATATGATACCACAATGAGGACGACCTTGGAGTGGTATCATATTCCTGTCATGCTCCATTTCACTTAATTCCAGGAAGACCTACATGGAACAGTTTATTGATTGGGATGCGTTCCGAGTTAACAGATCCCTCTATTTACTATGTTTTGTAATAACCGAGTGGCCTATTTCTGTCTCATTGTGTTTTAGTTGTGTTATTGACCTTAATCTATAGACATTGCTTCACATAAAGGAGGAACTTGTAACCATATTCCTTTGCATACATGATATTTTCTAGCTCATAATTAAAAAAATCTGACACAAAGCGTGTACGAACGTTATATTATGACTCTTTGTATCAAACCATGAATTCATGGCAAGTTTGTGAAAGAAACATCGAATTACGAATAAACATCAATTACGTAATAATATCAAAATGTAAATACCCATTGTAAAGCGAATTCATGACTGACAAATTTTTTTTTTCCCAACCACGAAAACAGACATTGCTTACTTCACAGGAGATTGCTCTTTACTGTAGATAACACGTTCCGTTCAATGTACTATCGTGTTACAATAGGCTCTATAAAAGGAAAGACCATCTTTACTTCTTTATCCCTCGTTTAGCGACATGCATTAATTAGTTGTTCCTGTACACTCAAGAGAACAAATGTAATCTTGGCGGTTTATTTTGTTAAAACTTCAATTTAAATAGACGTGACACAGACTATAATTAATAGGTTTAGGGTTTAACAATATGATATTATAAGACATGTGTAACTTGTCCTTATGAAACAAAATACTTGCCAAATACTTCAGATTTGTAATAAAACTTAACAAGTGTTCATTTAATGTTCTAAGAACTATGCATGGTGGGTTGAACTCATTCCGTCTCTAACAATATTCCCAACCGCACGCCAGAATAGGAAACGATCGTTCCCAAAGTATTCGGAGCTAAACCAACGCTAGCATTCATCAGATGACACTTAATTGTGCATAGGAGCGTACTGTCTATTTTCCCGTTTCTTTCTTTCCCTGGAAACGTTCAGTTTGTAATTAAATCCGCACTGGGTGGGAGTGTACGAAATTGTAACTCGAGATCATATCATATCATATTTGTTGTTCAACACCAACGCGCATGTAAGTATATATTATTCTGTTAGTTTGGAATTGTCGTAAAGGAGCATTATATCACAAGAAACACATCATTTTATCACTATGGTGTTTAACAACTAAAAATAATTCGATATATGTCATGATGATCAGTTGAGCTGTGACACATCGCATGACTTCATTTCAAAGACACGATCTGATCAATAAAAGAACGCTTTGCCTTGACTTATTCCTGTATATTCACTATTATGTGTATATACTTTATCTTGCATCATACTCTGTTTATTTACTTCATCTTGCATCATTATATGTATCATTACATTTTTATTCATTATAATCGATGTACTTACTTTAACATTCATCAAAATGTATACTTACTTTACCATTCGTCATACTGTATACTTATTTTATCATTCGCCACACTGTATACTTACTTTACCATTCGTCATAGGGGCGGTCGGGTAGCCTTGTGGTTAAAGCGTTCGCTCGTCACGCCGAAGACCCGGGTTCGATTCCCGACATGGGTACATTGTGTGAAGCCGTGATATCGCTGGAATATTGCTATAGAGGCGTAAAACCATACTCACTCACTCACTCGTCATATTGTATACTTTACCATTCGTCATACTGTATACTTACTTTACCATTCGTCATACTGTATACTTACTTTACCATTCGTCATGTTGTATACTTACTTTACCATTCGGCATACTGTGTACTTACTTTACCATTCGGCATACTGTGTACTTACTTTACATTCGTCATACTGTGTACTTGCTTTACCATTCGGCATATTGTATACTTATTTTACCATTCGTCATACTGTATACTTACTTTACCATTCATCATACAGTGTAATTACTGTATCTTGCATCATATTGTATATTTACTTTATCAATCATCATACTTTGGTACGGTAGCTTGCATCATACTGTATACGTACTATATCTTGCATCATACTGTATAAGTACTGTATCTTGCATCATACTGTATAGTTAACGTATCTTGCATCACAGTGTATAAGTACTGTATCTTGCATCATACTGTATAGTTAACGTATCTTGCATCGTTGTGTATAAGTACTGTATCTTGCATCATACTGTATAAGTACTGTATCTTGCATCATACTGGATAAGTACTGTATCTTGCATCATACTGAATAAGTACTGTATCTTGCATCATACTGAGTAAGTACTATATCTTGCATAATACTTTGGTACTGTATCTTGCATCATACTGTGTAAGTACTGTATCTTGCATAATACTTGATAAGTACTGTATATTGCATCATACTGTGTAAGTACTGTATCTTGAATCATAGTGTATAAGTACTGTATCTTGCATCATACTGTAAAGGTACTGTATCTTTCATAATACTTTGGTACTGTATCTTGTATCACAGTGTATAAGTACTGTATCTTGCATCATACTGTATAAGTACTGTATCTTGCATCATAGTGTATAAGTACTGTATCTTGCATCATACTGTATAAGTACTGTATCTTGCATCATACTGTATAGTTAACGTATCTTGCATCATACTGTATAAGTCCTGCATCTTGCTTCATACGGTGAAAGTAATACGCAGTATATGAATCAAAATATCCTGCTTCATACGTGAAGCTGTGGTTTATCTACGCATAGAAGGTGTTGTTCCTTTGTAAGCTGTTGTTCCTGAAGATGCTCTCAATAATATGTTAATATGTTGACTCTACTTCGCCGAAGACTTCCGAGTATACCGGATACTCATGTTGTGAGCTATTCGCAGTTAGTCTGAAAATCCTTGTGGCGAATCTCCCATAAATATAAGCAAACACCTCTTTGTATCAAATAGCCAATATGAACGACTGGTACTTTAACAATATTATCTTTGACACTTTCTTCATCATATGATGAAGTGGACTACCCCTTGGTGATTCCAGGTTAGCATTATTCCCGGCAATATGTGCTTGTGGTTCAAAAAATGGATGGTCAGGATTAGTGACCAGGTTGATGGCGTGTCATTGTATCTCCACGGATCGTTGCTCATCATATCAATCACTCGTTTTGGTCGGTCGGAATTCGACTATTTACAGGGCGTGATCATATAATAATATTTTAGCGTGCGGAGTTAAGCAACAAAGAAACAGAAATAGACTTATCATCAATGAAGTTGAGTGAGGAAATTTGTCGTCAATGCCCTTTGTTGTCAGAAGTTGTGTATTTGTGTACAGGCACCAGTAGAAGGGGTTGGGTTGGGGTATCGGCTGACGTTATCAGTATTGGGAAATACTTTGAGCTACACTGTAAACAACAACGCTCAAAAACCAATACGTCCCAACAATATACATTATGTTTCTTATCTTTGGAGTTTGTTATAATGTGTTATAAATGTTCTCAGGTCAGATATTTTCATTTACTCTGCTGCAGGTTGTACAAACATGGCTGCCTCCCTCCCGAATTCCATTTACAACGCTGTAAGTACACATTTAAATTATTCCAGGAATGTTCAGACATAATTGCTCCTTATTGTTTTCAATCAACCACATCTTTATTTCCAACTTTTACTGCGGTCGACATTTATTTAAACAGATCAAATTATAGCATTTTTCTTTCGGTTGCTCTTCGAAAAGCATGTTCGTTTTCGTTTGATTATCCGTTAAGTTGGAAAAAGAATACAGATTACATGATAACTAATTATCAAGTAGGTAAGTAGATAATCAATTTACATCAACGAATTACCCAACGTAGGATTACATGCACTAGTAAATCACCCCTCAACACGCGCTTTATCCTCATGTGTCATTGTGCCTTTTTTTTAACCCTTCAGGTTTTATCCGTTTATTTAATTTTGGAAAGGAAAGGCGTGTAATCTGCGCCTTTCAATCGTGTTCTCTTCAGGAAACTTTCTAGACTTCCATTCACTATGTTTGTATTGAAATATTGAGGTACAACTCTGAAACTTTCCTGGATGGATTTGTGAACGATTGTGTATCTAGTCATTTATTGCCGCTGTTTATTTCGTTTCGCTTTCAAATCCTTTATTTGGAAACACTATAAACTAATGTGCAAACTATGTTAAAATATAAATACACGCATAAGTATATGACCTTTAATGTTGTCAAATGATTTGTATGAAACCAAACGAAATATATACATATTCATTTGCCTTTTATCAAATTAGCAATTGTCCTAGTGTTATTTATGATGGCGTATCAACGCGAGTGTCACTGAAATGATTCTTTCCAAATATGGATATTTTCCTCACAGCTGACTTGTCACGTGACATATCACGTGGTTACTTATCTCCACAAGGAAACTTCCGTTTTCCACCGTTGCGGAACTAACTGTGATTGGTGGTATGAAAACATAATCTCTCACAAACGAGGAAAACCTAACCACCCTCTTTGATTTCAAGGAAACAAATTGTTTATGTTGTCCTTGACTAGTATATGATTCGTATATGATGGAGGTGTCTCACTCGCTTCTAACAGTTACCTTGGTTCTTGCACGGTATTATACCTTATGTCTAGTGTATGTCTAAAGTCTGTACTTCAATTACACTAAATACAACTGGAGCTAATAGGTAGGTGTGTAGTTGGATACATGGATGTTGGATGGATGGATGGTTGATTGGTGGTTGAAGGATTGTTGATGGATGGTTGATGGGTGGTTGATGGAGGGAAATATGATCTGTATCATTTACTTATCATTTACTCTGATTTAAATAGTTTTCTATTATCTTACTCTTTGCATCATGTTCACACAACAGGGAGAGAAGTTAATTACCATCGTTACCACAGCAGCGATTTGTTTCTCTTAACAATCTGCAATTCACAAACTTACATAACATGACTAAATTAATATAACTGGAATACTACCAAACAGAAATATGATTCTTGCCTATTGTTCTAAATTTATTTGAGTATTTTTGGAACGGCGTCGCCTGAAGCTACCTGTGACGTCATGAACAATGGTCGGGCTCTTCAATTATTTGCAACGATCTCTTGATATTGACGGAGCGATAGCACCAGAAGGGGTATGCAGATCGTATCAGAAGATGTGGGAAGGGGTATGTAGTTCATATCAGAAGGGGTAAGGAGATCGTATGAGAAAGGGTTGGGAGATAGTATCACTAGGGGTAGGGAGGGTCATGTAGTTCATTTTAGAAGGGGTACACAGATCGTATCAGTAGGGGTAGGGAGGGTCATTTAGTTCATGTTAGAAGGGGTACATAGATCGTATCACTAGGGGTAGGGAGTGTCATGTAGTTCATGTTAGAAGGGGTACACAGATCGTATCAGTAGGGGTAGGGAGGGTCATGTAGTTCATTTTAGAAGGGGTACACAGATCGTATCAGTAGAGGTAGGGAGGGTCATGTAGTTCATTTTAGAAGGGGTACACAGATCGTATCAGTAGGGGTAGGGAGGGTCATGTAGTTCATGTTAGAAGGGGTACATAGATCGTATCACTAGGGGTAGGGAGTGTCATGTAGTTCATGTTAGAAGGGGTACACAGATCGTATCAGTAGAGGTAGGGAGGGTCATGTAGTTCATGTTAGAAGGGGTACACAGATCGTATCAGTAGGGGTAGGGAGTGTCATGTAGTTCATGTTAGAAGGGGTACACAGATCGTATCAGTAGGGGTAGGGAGGGTCATGTAGTTCATTTTAGAAGGGGTACACAGATCGTATCAGTAGAGGTAGGGAGGGTCATGTAGTTCATGTAAGAAGGGGTACACAGATCGTATCAGTAGGGGTAGGGAGGGTCATGTAGTTCATGTTAGAAGAGGTACACAGATCGTATCAGTAGCGGTAGGGAGTGTCGTGTAGTTCATGTTAGAAGGAGTAGGAGTAGGCCGATATGTCTTCAGGAGTAGGACGAGGTAGGTATGATCAGGCAGAAGTAGCCAGATGTGGAATTGTGTAGATAGGTATATTTCTACTGCACCTAGCCTGCTCACAGCGCTGCAATAAAAAAATTACTCCGTTTCAATGTGACAGTGAGCATTGTCAGCTTCCCGCAGAGTGAGTGAGTGAGTGAGTGCGTGAGTGCGTGAGTGAGTGAGTGAGTGAGTGAGTGAGTGATCGAATATAGACCATGCAGTCCCGCGGTTGGGCCAAAAACCACCCGGCTCTCTTAATTCGGCTCTTACGGCACACACACGGAATACAGGGAACCTGTGATGGAATCCCCATGTGGTTAATACTCAAGTCAAGTCTTTATTCCATTGAAGGCCACTGGCCCACATACAGATAAAGTGGATACATACATATTGCGATGGTTCATGAATTCATAAGTAACTTATATCATAGTATATATTTTAGTGTTTGCAAAACTTTGTCTTACTTCATAACTTTAACATAAATATTTACATAAGTTTCTTAATAACCTCACACCGTTCGAAGACAGAAGCATTCTAAATTTGTAGATATTCGGATTATGGCAATACATTTAAGGCAGATAGGGGTGTCTTATGTTCTTATAGGAGTTACATATTAAGATAAAATTATATTTATCTTCTATCCCGAGATTACAAAGAGAACATAAACTTAAATCAAACCCCAACCATCTCCCTTCGTTAACAACCCCGCTCTCAGTCTTATCAACGTCTTACGTTGTTTTCTATCTGTTAGAAGGGTCAGGTTCGATTAGGCTTTTAAACACTTCATATATGTTTTTTTCAATAATGCTATTCCTTGATTGATGATACATATCAATTGCAACCTTTTTATACGGTCTAAGAAAAGGAAATTTATCTCCAACACACTGAGCAATCCATACAAATACAAATCTATGTGAAAACAATAACGTGCGTACAGCAGGTGCATGGGTTTGGTATCCACATTTACCATAGTACACAGGCACATCACAGGCTTTCTTAGGAATTCTATCATTGTGCATTTAGATACGTTTAAGCTGGTATTTTATACAACTACAGCGTGCATTAATATATAACGGATATCACCCACATTCTCCATTTACAATCACATTAGGTGTTTTGGGTCCAACGTTGAGAAATTTCTTGCACGCAATTAAATGGTTATAATCTTTTCAAATCTGTTTGTACCCCACACCTCAGAGCCATATAATAGAATAGGCTGTATTTGGGTATCGAATATCGCAAAAAACACAAATGGGTCCACCATACCAAGTTTTATAGAAATGATGGATGACTTCAGTTGAAGCTCGATTACCAACTGCAGGCTGAACTTATGCAAGATCGATGCAAGGGTCGAGCTGTCGATTGTAATATTCCACAACACGACACCAGACACGGTCTGCCACCTGGACGCTACCCGTCTGTCTATGCTCTTGAGAAAATAGGGTCATATTTAATTGTTTGGTTTGCTTACAGGCCGTCATCGCGTGGCGGGGCGGTCGGGTAGCCTAGTGGTTAAAATGTTTCCTCGTCACGCCGAAGACAAGAGTTCGATTTCCGACATGTGTACAATGTGTGAAGCCCATTTCTGGTTTTCCTCCTGGAATATTTCTAAAAGCGGCATAAAACCATACTCACTCATCGCCTGGCAGGAGTACTGCTGTGAGGTGTCAGGCAACACCAGAGAATAACCAGTCTCCATTATCTTCATGGCGTGAAAGACAAAATAGCGATGAAAAAATAAGAGAATGGATCACTGAATATGAGCGATGACACCAAGATTTAACGAAACACACACTGCTTATGTAAATTGTGTGAGTTGAAGGTGCTGTAGGCAGGGTAGGAAATGCTCAGCATTTTCGCGAACACCGGGTGTCATTTCTGATTTTAAGTGTCCCTTTCATATTTCGTCTTAAGGGTTATGTCCAATAGAATCTGTTTCGGTGGATAGTCGAGGGTGGTTATTCTCTGGCGTTGACGTTTTTTAGTTTCTGACCGTCACGACAATAGGTTGTAAAGTGATAGAACTTCCTGATTGTGTAGCCCTAAAACAGATACTCTTACACCAGCTATACATAGCCCAGAAAACAATTACATGGAACACACTGGTTTGCCATAACCCCTGGAATGAGTGCTCAGCTCCGGTAAGGCATTTTGTTCAGAACGACAATGTTAAAGTGGAGAACGAACACATTCTGGCAAATGTGAAACTCGTTGTGATATCATAGTTAGACGTAAATGAATTTCAGATTACTCTACAAAATGCAAAGAAAAGTATAAAATGCATGTTAAAACCATGTTTATGTGTGAGTGCATATGTTTGTTCACCGTGTAGCGGCCATAACATTTCCGAGTCCCGTGATGGGATTCGAACCACGGACCTTCTGATTAGAAGTCGGACGCCTTGTCCACGTGACCAAAGAGGTTAATCCCGTCAGCAAGCTGACATGGTAAGGATGTCATCTGTGGGATGACTCCACGGCCTGCTACAACCGCACTAGTAAATGTATGAACGAGGCCAACCAGTGGTTGATAGCAGGATGAACAACTAGTGACCGGATTTTTATTAAGCTCTTATGATGGGACATTGCGAACCCACTCTGCTCGAGGAATTCCCATGGAGGAGGGGAAGGGGTTAAGGGGGTGTAATTTATTAAAGTGAAGCACAATGTTTATTTAATTAATTGTTTGTTTCGCTCGACACGGTTAACCAGGATGCTGTACTTATGACGCATGCACAAATGCACTTGTTTCTCATACTTAGGCCACGTGTTGCGTTATATCTGCCGGCCTTTTATGACTCGATAACTATGTTAATACAGATAAATCGAACCTAAATTGACATTTCTAAATGATCACACTCTTCGTCTAAGACTATTTCGTAGAAGATTAAGATTATTTCGTAGAAGCACAGCGTTGTGATGAGATGCTTGGATGCTTTATATAGAAGTTGTAGTCATGTTACTGAGGTACTTTTTTTCACATGGAAGTTTTTTCAATCGATAACAACAACAATCACAGACATAGCTAAGAAAATATATTAGTGACCCGGCCGGATGAAGTTGTTCTTAAATAATTACCCTGCCTCTTGCTAAAGTTCAGATGGATTTACAAACCTCTACTGACACTCCAAGTTTATGTGTGTGAGTGGGGTATCCATGTTAAACTGCAGCGTGGTATCTAGGACTAGCACGCACTTTAAACCGACGTTAGTCTGGACTGATACAAGCACACACACACACACGCGTGCATACACACACAGGCATAGACACACACACACACACACAGACACACACACACAGACACACACAGACACACACACACAGACACACACACACACACACACACACACACACACACACACACACACACACACACACACACACACACACAAAGACACAGATACACACACCCGATTAAAATTCCTCAAATAGAACATGAACTGGAGCCCAACACCTTCTCACAAGCCCGACACTTTTATACGTTGTATCATGGTTTCACTTCAATTCATGACCGTTTAACGTGTGTTGAGAAACCCTAGCCTATGTATACTATGACATCATACTCCAGGCCCCATACATGTACCATACAGTGTGCACTGGTTTGGCTGGCCTAGCCGGCGAACTTCCTCCTTGTGTTGATAAGATAATATGAACTGTGTACTGCTGGCTCATAACACTGGCAGCCAGTGGTTGTGGCATACACAAAATCTTCCTACTTTGGACGGTCCTGTTTCAGATCACTCAGTACCCATCTGAACAATACCTCAACTATCATCAGTATCACCCGAACCCTCATCCGGAGTATTACAGAATGGAGTACCTCAAAGAGAATGACTTTATGAACACTGACGTCCACAACACACTTGATGGTAAGTATTGCATGTGACATGTGTATGCACATCCACGTCTATTAACTGAAGTGATAAATCAACGGTTCAAACGTGACATTTTTATATCATATTGAGCAATGGACCATGGTTGAGTTTTTTTAACGCGATCTATGACACACTCGATAGTACGTTTGTACTTGTCATGTGTAAGCATATATGTATACAGCTATTAACATAAGTGTTAGATTAACGGAATTTCTAACGTATTATTCACTATGTTTATGCATCTGATTTGAACAATGGATGATAATTGTTCAGTAACGTCAAAAAAAAGTTGATAGATTGCTATGGTTTTACCTGGAAAAGTAGATTTGTCTGACAGCTTGGTGTATAAATTCGCTAGGGTACACTGACAGTTGAAGTGTTTCGATGAACAGTTTCCTGTACACTCAATTCAATGAAACTGTTGTATATCCGGAAGTGTCCCTCGCCTGAAGTATCATCACCAGAGCGTTCAAATGATGGGAGAAAGGCTAAGGGCGGATAGATATATATTAATATCACGACGTATATTTAGTGGAGAAATAACAAGTGTCATGTAATACACACTTACATACGAAATACAGAAGGCATGTCTCTGAGAAAGTTTCTATTCAAACTGAACAGGATTGTGTAAAAACGTAAATCGTTAATCGTTAATCCCGCGATGACCTTCACCTTAGTACATAGTACATAGTAAAAAGCATTGAGACCTGTAACGAGTCTGATATGTGATCGCTACTACTATTAATATCCTATAAATATAATCTCTGTTATCAACTATGCATACCCGTGTTACCAATATTTTCTTCTTGTGCATTTGCGTGCAATGTCGTTACAGTTATATCAGATGGGGCCGGTGCAAACCGTGCTGTCAAATATATCTGTGAAATCACAGAGGCTGCACGGAAGGTCAATGCGGAAAGGTCTTGGGTTCTTATCGGCTTTGTCACTGAGGTTGTTCATTTATGGATGTGCCTGACAGTGGATATGGGCTCTTGACCACGCTGCATGGCAATAAACAGAGGTCGCATATACCATAAATTATTTCATTCTTACATAAGCACACTGCTACCACGGTCTTGTCTTCTTGTATAGGACACGATATTGACAGCGATGTCTCGTGAGCCACGACATGCCGATCTGGCGAGACAGAAACGTAACGTCATGCATATATGCACATATCTTGATTTGTATTTTCCCAATTGAGCTGTGAATGCTATATGAATGCATGCACATTGACCGCTGAAGAATGGCATGTGTAGGTTCCCGTGAAGAGAAATCATTGATGCGTGAAGTGAATACACACATCTAAATATTCGACAGGGGTGGAAGGCGTTTACACCGGTTTTTTTTAGGAATATTATCATGATAAACGCGTACACGTACACGAAATATACGACACTGGCTTATAATTGATATAATAGCCCATAAGTAATAATTCACAGCGTTACACACAACGTTTCCAAGTGCTTCCATAAATATTTATGTCGATTCAGGTAGCCTTGACACCAATTAGTGAAAGACTACAAATAAAGTCGAACCAGGAAGATATCGCAGCACAATTGAGGGTACCCCACATACCCTCATTTATCACAAGGGGTGTAAGCGGGTGAATATAATCACCAGTAGGACAGGCGCAGTGCATGCTGTTTACCTAACGACTATGTGAAACAGCTCTTGCACATCGTTATAACGGTCACTGAAAGCGCCCGGTTACCTTGTTCCTTAAGGAATGTCGTTTCGTTTGCCTCCGTTGTGTATACCTCGATGTCAAGTTTAAACCCGCCACTTTACATACACATATATTGCATTATGATAATGTCAAGCTCAAAATGTTTCAGTAATCGATAAAAGTAATTTCGGGGTGTATGGACAACGCATATATGAAATATCACTAATCCATGTATCATTTATATGTATTTGGTTTATGAATTAGGGACCGGACGATTATTACAAGACACAGGATATTTGTAAGATCACAACTGCTTTAATACGAAAGATCTTTTTAAGGGAATTTATACTGTAACATATTATATTTTTTATACATCTACCCCCCCCCCCCCCCCCCCCCCCCCACACACACACACCTCCACCCCCTCCATCTTGCCCCACCTACTCCCCAATATCTGTAAGTCGGTCCAGTCCAGTGGCGTGTAGAATATGTAACTTCCGTGGAAAACCCACATTGTCCCATTTGTAAACGCAATCGGACATACACGTCACACAATCTTAATATGTGTTCCTGTTTTCGTGTTTGCAGCCCTGTGCGTGATTTAGTAAGGTTCTCATGCATATAACCTCACCCTAGAAATATATATATCATACATACATACATACATACATACATACATACATACATACATACATACATACATAATACATACATACATACATACATACATACATACATACATACATACATACATACATACATACATACATACATTCATACATACATACATACATACATACATACATACATACATACATACATTCATACATAATACATACATACATACATACATACATACATACATTCATACATACATACATACATACATACATACATACATACATACATTCATACATAATACATACATACATACATACATACATACATACATAACATACATACATACATACATACATACATACATAACATACATACATACATACATACATACATACATACATACATAACATACATACATACATACATACATACATACATACATACATAACATACATACATACATACATACATACATACATACATACATACATACATACATACATACATACATAACATACATAACATACATACATACATACATACATACATACATACATACATACATACATACATACATACATAACATACATACATACATACATACATACATACATACAGAAAATGATTCAGGAAGTTAAGTAGAACAAGCAAGCATTGTGCATATTTCAGTCGTCTTCTATGATTGGCTGTGTTCGTCCTTGGGTTTACGATGTGTGTTGGAAATTGTATACTACAAACGAACAATAGACGCTATGGATACTTTGATCCAATCTGCAATTTAAGCAGTCACACGACCGAGAAATGCGCGTACAGTGCAGTCTGTCTGGAAGGAGCTTATTTCAGGCCGGTAGATATGTGCACTCTGAAATATAATATATGATGTCATATTTTATATATTCATGGGGTAAGAAGGTGATCGGATTGCGACTTGGCAGATTGAGTCTCATCGTGTTCCGCGTATAGTTTATTATGATTTCTGTCACTGCTTTACCTGGTCCAGACTCGATCATTTACCGGCCACCGTGACAAAGCGTGATAGCTGATACATGCGGCATTTTACAACATTCACATATTCACTCACAATTAATTCTAAAAATTCTCAGTTCGTTAACAAAAAGGTTTATGAGGTATATTAACGACTCAGTGAAACCTCTTTGGGTCGAAATCCGAATCAGAATAAGCAGGATTTTGAATAAAAGCGACGAAGATCAGTCTGTTAAGAAATATCTGTAGAAGTAGTCCATTGTACGATTCCTAGCAAATGCATGTGCTTATGAACCACCATCAGTTAGAGATCCGCTGATCATAGGTTCAAATTTAGGTTTTCCCCACACTTAGTTATAACGGAAACATAAATCAAAGCGAGTTTAACCTATATCACTGACTTATATATCATAAAATTACACGTAAATGATTTTCTGTGTACATTTTCATATCAACTACAAACGTCATCAATCTTACACAAGCATCGATGTATTTAATGTTACGGGAACGTTCATGTATCTACATGAAACTTTGATCAAATGTTGAAAATTGTCCAAGATGCCACCCTTATATGCCGAAAAGAAGGAACAAGAACAGTGTATGTTCCTTCAGATGGTCGCAAATACTGAGTCACATATGTGTGAAGAAGCAGGATGAGTGAGTGAGCTGTGACACTTTGAAAAGTAATTGCAGCAATATTCTGGCGGGGGACACCACAAATAGGTTTCACACGTTGTACCAATGTGGGGAATCGAACCCGGATATTCGGCATTGTGAGCGAATGCTTTAACCACTAGGCTACCCCAGAAGAAGAATGGGGAGGATTTGAGAGAGTAGGCTTATAACTATGACCATTTCACTATGAATATGCTACATTTTGAACAAAAACAAATGTGTTTAATCAGAAAACAAATAAGGAATACCAGTTTCAATAACACTTGCTTTTTCATATGGAAATATATTAACAGGTGTATACAAGCGTATTAATATTAATATGTATCTGAGTCACAATCAAGAACTCTTCATAGTGTAACAAAGCATCACAAGAAATGCGCATGTAAAAGTATTTATTTTCGTTTGTACCTTCACCGGATAAAAAAAAGAAACATAACAAAACATAAATCACTGCATGTATCTGAACATTGAATAGCTTGTCCTCAAATCACCGGTAGGTATAATATGTGCTTGAACACACGTCACACAAAATCACATGTCTATGTTCACACGATTAATTTATTAAATCGTGGATTTCTTTATCGTCTTGATAAGCTGGCTGGTCGCATACATTTGAGGGTATCGATTTATTGGCACGACATTCATGACTTAGGCACGTGAAATTTAATTGCACAGCATTTGATATCGGGGCAAGTAAATACTGCCCTGATTCGTTGTCATCAATAGAGATGACTCAAATTGTTGCTGATATTTATTGGAATGCATATAGACACAAAGCATCTACAAAGATGACAAACAATAACCGCATGAACAAAATAAAAATAGATAAATATGCATTAAACCATAAGGACTTTTATACGTATATTCATTTTGGTTTTAAGATGTCCATAAACAATAAGGGGGAGCTTATTGTGTGAGATTATTTTTCTCAGACATACATTTATTTTGCTTTAAAAGCAACTAATTTGGGACCAACAACACACCATTGCAGAACATTAAGCAATGATCGATTGGGATTTACAAAACCTGAGCTATATAAACCAAACTACATTTTCACAATTTGTGTTCTAGACACCCCCTCCCTCCCTCCAGAGTAGCCAGAAAGCTCAAAGTTTGTTATTTAATCAATTGTCACAGTGGTATTTTTACAGTCCAACAAACCGCCAAGGAAATGTTTCAAAACGTGTATACATTGTCCTTACTTCGTGACAATTCAGTCATTTAACACTGAGTGTTTCATTCCTCGTCACGAAACCTTATCACCCACATGGCTTATGTTGCACTCGAAAACAAACAATCACCTTAATATAAATCATTATTAGTCGTGTTGTATTAGAACGTTACTCGTGAAATAGTGACACATCGTTACTCCCAGATAAGATTCTATAGATTCTGGCGTTACTCATTGTATATAACACAATCAAATTTAGAATCTTTGTCAAGCATTAAATAGAAAACTCCAATCCACCTCTCGTGATGTGAACTACGTGGGTATGTCGGCCCTTTTCACTCCTCTTTTTTAATTTAAAGCAAAACATGAATTGAACAGTGACCCCAGAGCACTGAAATGATGTTTTACAGTTGTAATTTAGACAAGTCATTACGTTATATTCATTCTTGAAGAAAATTATTTCCTGCTTGGGAGTTACACTCAAGAGCGTCCTATCTCGTGTCCACTCAGGGGGTACTTTCATAAATTTGCCGGGTACAAGAAGAACCCGAGAGGAGGAAAATCCTTGTATTTGTTTCACTTCCTTGTTGCTTGTTTGAGGAAAAGTTGTGTGACACAATTTAAACAATATGGCCTTTGTTTCTGTCCAACTGTTTCTGGTTCCTCATGTGATCCATGCTACAAGTTTCATTACACATTGGGACTATCACACGGAAGGAATAGTGTCTCAACATCGTGAATATTAATTGGAAAACAAGGTAAAACTTATGTCATTTTATTTCGAAGTAACATGTTTCTTGCAAACTTATTATGGAAATCCCTGTACAACAGCCTCTGCGTTAACACCCACAGCTTGTCAAAACTACTTTCCCGACTTGCTGTGTTTACCTTCTTTAAAACATCTATCTTACCAACGTTACAAAAGAGTCCAAACACAAATTTGCAGTGCTGATTTGTCGGCAGGTATGTTGCGAAGGTTCGACCAAAACGTTTTCAAGTTGTATCACGTTTTGTCTTCGAAGTTTGTAAAGGGGAAGGAGGAACCTGTTAGGGACGTTCTCTATACATGTACTTCCCTCCTATCAAAGATGTGTAGTGAGTCTATATAATTCATCGGGTTGCCTCAATGTTACTCTTAGATATATAAGATATATGCTCCGTTTAAAAAAGCTGTGTGGTTTTCTCTGTGCAAACGTTGCTCTAGCAGTAGATAATCGATACTTATGTTCTTATCTCATGATCGAAATCATTTACCTTCCACGCATAGTGCTCTCTCTTTGTTAACGTTGCAATGAGGATCAACTACCTTCGTTCAGGGCAAGGGAACTAATACATTTCTGTGATACCGATATTACCTTGTGGACGACAGTTTAAGGTATTTGTGCGTGTAAGGTTAAAGTATATAATGCATTTATTGGATTGGCTTACTTTCCTGTGTGGGCATATATTTAGGACCGCCACAACGCCTGTGTTTCTTTTGAAGTTACGTGTTGGTAGTTCAGGGTAGAAGTAGCTCCAGTTAGCTACGCTTGTCAAATAAACTGGATCGATGGTCAGGATCCGTGACTGGTCTGGTGTCATTATAACCCGATACTCTGCATGTTTTCATGCTTTCAATGACATCACTGAATTGTCTGGTCCAGACTAGATTATTTACAGACCGAGGTCATATAGCTGGAATATTATTGAGTGCGGCGTTAAGCAACAAACAAACAAACAAAACAAAATTTCAATGACGATTTTGTTCAGGCTCGATGACATAGCTATGCTGTTGTTGATTATTGTGTTTAAAAACATTCGGAATTCATTTAAAATAAATGTTAACGACCATGTGAATCAAATCGAATCCATCTATTTATTTGTACTTGGCTTTAACCTATTGCAGATTTTATAAAGGGAACTGATTTGACACGTTTCTAACGTTGCTATTATTTAAAGTTGTTTGCCTGTGAAAATATGGCACTCAACCCACCAACTTACATTAAATGAGGATGCGTGTCAGAAAACCGAAATACATATATATTGATAAACTTGCCATTCATAAAGGACACATGTGAAAACAGCTTTTTGTGCACGAGACACAACTAAAGGACGATATGTAAAATCAAAATACATCGGCTATAGATCGACCCGTGAAGACCCCGGGTTAGAATTGGTCTTCAGGTACCCATGCGTGTCGAGAGGCGACTAACGCTTGGTTGATGCATGTCATTGTATCCCAATTGCGTAGATCTATGCTTATGATGTCAATCTCCGGATTGTGTGGTCCAGACTCGATTATTTATAAATCGCCGTCATATGGATGGGATATTGCTGAGTGCGGCGTTAAACAACAAACAAACCAACCAAAATAAAGACTTTAGATCACAACATGTATCACAGGATTGTTTTTTTGTTGTTTCTTTATTTTTTAACGCCGCACTTCTCAATATTCCAGCTATATGACGGCGATTCCGTTAGTCGCCTCTTACGACAACAGTTGCCTTTTACGGCAAGCATGAGTTTCTAAAGACCTATTCTACCCCGGATCTTCACGGGTCGATGGGAGGACTGAGGATACATGGGTGGTTCATGGCTGACCTTCAGTTATAGGTCATGCGTGAACCATGTATGAACCGCATATGATTATGTTTGAACGATAATGTTTGTTTAATATGAAAAATGTACGAATGCTCATGATTGCTCAAGATATTCACCAAGCATGAATCACGTTTGAAACGCGTACGGAGTATGTGTGATTATATATGACCCTTGGATGAACCAGGTATGCAGCAAACATGATGAATGTATGAACCATGTCTTCTCATCCGCTTGTCCTGTATTGCAGAAGATCTTTTCGGTGCTTTTGAAGGAACCGACTACACACCCCTTGCCCATCTCTCTTGGACGGACGTTGAAGACATGTCTCAGCTGCCCCAATCTGAATTAATGTCTGAACGAGCTGACTTGGGTTCAGATGGTGTTGATGACAGCGGTTCTGGTAGGCAGCCTACATATAATCGTATTCATTGTCACTATCCAGAACATTTATACAGAATAACAGTTCATATGTACACATGCGTCTGTGTAAATATTTAACACTTCTCACGATACATATAAGAAAGTGCATGATAGACAACTTTGTATTAAGTAAATGTTGACTATGTAGTTTGAGTGGATACCAATTAAAATACCCTTACCTTAACTGGGTCACGCATCTGCTTTTTTCTCGTGTCGTTACATTTTATCAACAATAAAACACTTCCTTGTTGATATATTTACAAATGTACAGGAAGCTGGTTCAGACCTTTCTCGGTGGAATATCAGCAGCTTTAAATAAGGACTTATCGTCTGTCCTCCACAGATTATAGTGATCCCGGTAGCTGCTACAGCGAGTCCTATGATAACGCGACCAGTATGATGAGCATCAAAGACGAAAGCAACTTCTACAGCGAACCCCTCTACAAGCCAGAGGAGCTCTTTCAGTGCCCCCCTCTAAGTCAAGTCTTCGCGTCTGACATGCCAAGTCATGACCCTGCGAGGCCACCACAGAAGAAAAAGCCGGGACGAAAAAAGGGCCAGAGTGAGTTGACATAAATATTTGTGGAAATTGTTGTGATACCACGTGTTGTGGCTGTGGGCTACGTGCATGTGTTACGTCTATGAATAATCATGTATGTGACGTTTTGTTAAATTTCACATTAGAACGTTGTGCAGTCATATAAACATTTGATAAAGTTTACATTCGTAAGTGTCATTTTGAAATTTAATATGCCAATGCAAATTAGCTAAGATGGATGTCAGTTTCAACCGTGTAGCCAAATGGAAGTGTACACTTTGTTCTACCCTTCTTGTAATAATTTGAATCATTAAAGAAAACTTTATGAAAACTTTAAGGGTAAGAAGATAATGTTATAGCTATTTTTCAGGCACAATCAACATACGTTGAAATATTTGTAATTCGTGGCGTTATCTGAAAGCAACACAAGGAGGAATTCCGGTCCTTCATATGACCTTATTATACCCGGAAGTAAACATAAAGTTGTTCTTCTATCTAAAACACCGAACTGTTGTGAATGTAACCCTGCTTAGATCACACCGTTTTACATAAGTGAGTGAGTATGGTTTTACGCCGTTTTAGTAATATTCCAACAAGATGCGCTTGATACAGGATGACACCATGATGCCAAAAGCGGGCTCTACGTTTTATGCCTATGTGGGGAATCGAACCAAGGCCTTCGGCCTGACGAGCGAACGCTGTCACCACTGATCTCCGCCACTATGCAAAATACTTTGACTGCAGTCATCCACCTTGTGACATACCTGATTCAAGCCTGTCAGAGGTTACAATGCTATCTGTAACATATCATATTAAAGTAGAACCTAGTTTGTTCGGATACGTCATGTTTTGCACAGTTCAGATATCAAATATGTATTATTTGTAATATACAGTGGAACACCATTAATCCGGACGGTACTGTTCCAGGTGAACTCGTCCTGATTAGCAAATGTCCGTATTATTGAATAATGGGTAAACTGTCTCTTCAGTCTCATGTGGTCGTTCCATTCAATAACCCGGGATTCAGGATGAATTGGGTCAATGCATTCCGTATATCTCGTTTGCAAGGTGCATGGCCTACACAATCATGATAACCTCATATCAGTCTGCAGGGCATGATAACGCACTTGTCAAAACGATATTAGTTTGATATTGTTGGGAATGTAACTTCAAATTCTTACGTGATGAGTTCCGAGTTACTACATCCTTGCTGGGATTCCTGAGCAATTTCTGCCCAGCTGCTGAAGCTGAGTTGAGGATCTGGTTGCACGATGTGATTTGACTGATAGTGTGTCACCATTCTCCGACAGCACGGAACGTCGCTCATGGTGTCAATCACTCGTTCAATGATTTACAAGCCGTCATTATAAAGCTGCAATATTGCTGACCCCATGACAGATTACGATGATAGCGAAAGCTTTTTCGAGGTCGTAAAATTAGGAATTAAATTAAGCAAGTATTACCAATGTGTTATTTCCTTGCAGCATCAAAAGTCCTTCACTTATGGGAGTTCATCCGAGACCTTCTCAAGGATCCCAAATTCAACGGTAGCATCATCCAGTGGGAGAACAGGGAAGAGGGCGTCTTCAGAGTTGTCAAATCCTCGGAAGTTGCAACTCTTTGGGGTCAGAAAAAGAAGAATAAGAAGGAGATGACATATGAGAAGATGAGCAGGTCCATGAGGTATGCACCCGATAGTTAGAAAACTAGTAATTTACATTACTATTCCATGCAACTCTCGTCTAAGTCATTGATAGATGGGACGATTTAACGGGCGCTTCGAGTGGAACCTTATTTCGCTTTGCATTTTGGGAATAGAAACGAAATGGAAACGATTGTTTAGGGCTGTAGGGTTAATAATACTATTTTGAATAAAAGTCTCGATATGAACACGTTAATGTGTGGTTTGACCACAAAATCCTCAAAAGTGTTCGTCTCAAAATTGGTACCATATGGCCGGAATGGTGCCAAAAGCGGCCTAAAATTGGATCCACGCACTTATAGCCAATATGTTAAATTTCCAGGCCGATTTGATGTATACATCTGAAACGAAGTTAAAGATTGTGATGGCATGACAGACTAAAGATAGAAATATTGAAGAATCTGGTGTTCTTTTGACAGTATATATGACCATGCATATTCGATCGAAAGAGTCTTTAATTAGAGTTTTTCAACATTACCGCGATGAGCCATGATATAAATATATATATATATATGGTGTAATTTTTATTTAACATCAATTTTCTTTCATTTCTTAGGTATTCAAGAAAAGAAGGTTATTTCATCGACCTGCCTAAGAATAGTGGCTACCCTAAAAAACTTTGCTTCCGGTTCGGACCCAAATCGACTGGTTGGCAGTGACTATTTCATGACACGTTCGTGTGAATTCATAAACAGTCAAGAACCTCGACGCCATTCCCGTCATTCAGTCATGAGGAACGTTTTTCATTGGATGGATGTGACATGTGACTAGCTAGTGGGTAATCCCATGATGCTTTGTGTTTGAAAGGCGGGTGTAAGTTCACGACGTTCCTCAGTCAATCGCGGACAGTAACTTTCAAATGCTGACAGCAAGGCTTTACAGTACACGTCCAAGGCGGATGATTGTTGAGAGCTCATTCCATTTTATTCTTCCATTTTCCACACTCTGTACATAACGCACTGTCAGACATATTTTCATATTTTCATAGTTTAATATTTTCATTATATTGTCATAACAATCACCATATGAACACCAAAACCAAGGTTCGATATCTATGGAGAGTACATCTTCTGGCATGCACATAGCAAAACTTTGTTGATATAAGTATTTTCAAACTGTCTCATGTTGTCATATACATTCATTTCATTGGATCCCGTTATCATTGTTATCACGAAATATATAATTCTGTCATGCCGTTAAGATCTGATAACTGTAAGTATATGTCACTTTGTCAGACAATTTTGAGCTAACGCGTTTCAAGAAGAACGGGAAGTCTTGTGACAACGCGGGCATTGCGGTTTGATTGCCGGGATGTTGTTTAGAACAAGTAATTGCCTGTTGGTGCTTTGAATACAATTGCATATCTGAAAGAAACAGTGGTTAGTGCCCTGTTTTGTCCATATAGCAATAATGTCGATGGGAACTTGAATCAAAAGTGCCTTATGAAACCATGAATCAAAACCTTTTTTATGTGTATATACATTGAAACCTTTTTAAGTTATATCGTCTGGTTTAACACGTTTCCGGAATTACGAATTACTCTTATAGAGTGGTGTTCTTTGAGTATTTGGGAGGTTCGTTTGAAGAGGGATTCGAATTAACGGGTGTGGATTAAAGACGTTTCAGTGTATTTGGTACGAGTTTCAATATATCACATAGATTCAGTATTGCCTCTTGCATTCGACACTATTCGCCAACTTCCGTAAGTTTATCGGATTTAAACGAATGTTTCCGATATTGTCAAGGCAGCACTGCACTTAAGATGCTTAGATTAGATCTCCAGGAGAGCTCGATCTCTGTGAGATCCCGATCTCTTTGGGAACCTAGATATTATATCATCAAAGTGCCTCATGTTTCCCGGGTATGGTGTGGTCGTAGTAGCATTCCTACCCGTACAACCGGTATTTATAGAGTATCTATGAATTTGCTCAACCTTTTCCTATGCAAACGACACTTGCTCGAAATGAGACTGTTTTGTACATTTTTCTTGAAAATAAATTTATTGTTTTATTACCGTTAATCATTTCTCGAGTTTTTTATACTGCACATGCTCTGGAAGGTTTGTTTGTTTGTTTAACGCCGTACTCAGCAATATTCCAGCGATTTGACGGCGGTATGTGAATAATCAAGTTTTTACCAGACAATCTAGTGATTAACATCATGAGCACGGATCAAGGCAATTTGGATACGATCACGTGTTCTTTTTTGTTTGTTTGTTTGTTTGCTGTTTAACGCCGCACTCAGCATTATTCCGTCCATATGAGGGCGGTTTTGAAATAATCGAGTCTAGACCAGACAATCCGGCGATAGACATCATTAGCCTCGATCTACGCAACTGGAATACGATGACATGCATCAACCAAGTCAGCGAGCCTGACCACCCGATCCCGTTAGTCGCCTCTTACGACAAGCATAGTTGCCTTTTACGGCAAGCATGGGTTGCTGAAAACCTATTCTATCCCGGATCTTCACGGGTAAAGAAGACATGCATCAACCAAGTCAGCGAGCCTGACCACCCGATTCCGTTTGGTGCCTTCTACGACAAGCACGGGTTGCTGATGACCAATTCTAACCCGCATCGTAGCGGTTATGGAACCGCACAGGGTAGAAGATTGTTGATGCATTGTTGTCATCAGTGTCGATCTGCATCATCAACCTGGGGATCTGGTCTCAAACATGCACTTGTCCATAACATAGGAGACAAGTTCTTGTGCACCTTCTGCAAGGCTTATAAAGTGACATTCAACCTTTCACGTATTTATCCAATACCAACCGCGTGTGCTATATCAACCTGGAACAAGAAAGGATAATGATATAACTGTCCGATATTGGCTCATGTGGATATTCCGTCAGGTTTTTTTAACACGATGTCACGTCATATATTGTCATGACGTCATATATTGTTAATGACGTCACCAATTGATCACATTATGTCATCTGAACAAAAGATTGACGTAAGTAACGATTCTCTGCTGGGTGGAATCTTATACGATTTTTCTTATTCTGTTTCTTAAATGACAGTGGGAAGTTTGTAGAGTCACGTACTCGATGCTGGGAATGGCGAGTTGTCTGACCTATGCTGTAAGCCACTCGCCAATGCTCGGGACTTACCTCCATTGGGCTTCCATGGGTCCAGGTCATCAGTAATTCATGTTACTCTCTGATTATCCAATAGCCAACGTAAATACGATCATGTAACTTTTTTATGTCTGAGTGAGTGAGTTTTGGTTTGAAAGCCGCTTTGAACAGTATTTCAGTTATATCACGGTTTGTCAGCTTAATGTTGACGAAAACCCCGAAGTGATGTCTTAGACATTTACCACTTTAGTAAAATCTGTTATGGTGCTGATAAACCTGAAAAAGATAATCGGGGCGGACCAGGATTCGGGTCCCCGATCACAGGTTTCGTGTGCGCCTAAGGGACGCAACTCTGCACAGACCACGCATGCTCCTATCTGTATGACATTGAAAAGCAATGAGGGTAAGGATTAATCTAAATGATTACACACCTAATCACCAAGGCAGGCGGTTGCCAGCGTACCGTTTTTTTGTTTTGATGAATGGCTTAATGGGGAATGAACACAACGAGACATGTCACCTTTATGTTTTATTAAGGAGATAAGACTTGGGTTAATGAGTTCGAATCCCTGATTCGCCTTGATTACAAAGTGGGTTTGTCTCCAGGATATCCGTGGGTTTCATCAAAGTTGTAAACGTCTCAGGTCTCATCATTGCTATTTTCTTCACACATCAAGCTGGCACGCCATGATATAACTGTTTAACTGTATAACGACTGTTTCAACGCGGAGATAAACACAACTCAATACTATCTATATGTAATTTGAATAACTACATGTTCATCTTTGTATATCTACACTCTTCAAAAAAAGAAACGCACAGATAGATGTTTGGTAAATTTATTGTACCTGATAAATCGATATATTTAATTTAATATCATAGATACAAATATGAAGTTTTGGAGATCGATAGTCATATGTTGTCTTTGTACAACAGCATTGAAAACTGTTCACATAAGGCCACAAGGTGGCGCTGAACTCAGTATCTTGTGTGACTGCCCCGGGAAGCAATCACGGCTCTGCATCGCCTCGGCACTGACTGGATAAGTGTACGAATTCTGTCCTGAGGAATTCTGCGTCATTCTGCTTGAAACGCGTAGGCCAGTCGTAGGAGTGTCTGTGGCATGTTCTGACGTTGACGTGCACGACATTCGAGTTCATCCCAGAGGTGTTCGATTGGGTTGAGATCTGGAGATCTCGACGGCCATTGCTATGACGTAGATGGAACAGTAGAATGTAGCGATCCTTTGCAGGGGTGGTAACTCTTGGTCGGCCGGTTCTCGGATGGTCTGCAGTGGAATTGAACTGTGTGTATCGGTCACAAAGGTGGCAAATGGTGCTGTTAAGGACACTGAAGTTGCGTGGAACAGAAGAACAGTCTCCCCTCTTTGGATACGTCCTATGGCGATGTTCCGATCGGCAGCACTGAGTCTCCGAGTTTTCGAATTTGAAAAATGTTGACTATTAAATTGACAAATTATTGGCTTATGCGTGCCTGTTTATAGCCACTACCACGAGTTACGAATACCATAACTTGCACGTGCATTTTGCTTCACTGTTTTCCTCCATGACCTTTTTTTAACAAGTGTTACAACAACGCCGTTTAAGACATTGCAAATCGACAATGGCTGCGTTTGGACGCACCGTTTGTGGAAAATCAGGCTACCGACATTTTCCAATAACATATATCCTATTTATATACCGGATTTTTTGTGTAGTCAGGTTCAATGAACTACATACTACCTGTGCATTTCTTTTTTTTTTTTGAAGCGTGTGTAAGGGCGGTCGGGTAGCCTAGCGGTTAAAGCGTTCGCTCGTCACGCCGAAGACCCGGGTTCGATTCCCGACATGGGTACAATATGTGAAGCCCATTTCTGGTGTCCCCTGCCGTGATAATGCTGGAATATTTCTAAAAGCGGCGTAAAACCATACTCACTCTCTCTCTCTTGAAGCGTGTATATATCGACAAAGAAAGGGTCATATTTTTATCATAAGTTTTTGTACTTTACGACAGTTCCAATAACACAAGGAGGTAAATCACACACTACCATTTAGAGATTCACGACTTTGAACACCCTTGGTCAACACGAACACATTTATCTGCAGATTCAAATAGACAACGTGACATTCGGTTCAGACATGAGTGAAAGACAAACAAATGTTATGTCAATGTAATTTCCGGGTTTGATGGGATATACATTCTGTATAATAGTATTCTCGTTTAGACATTCGCATCAGCTTTTGTTGTGAATGGATTCGTGAGCTGTCTAGAGATTGTTTATTAATGGGCACGGGTATCTCAATTTATTTATCAAGAGAGGACATACTCACTTATAAATACAGCTATCATTATAACTGTACTGCTCTTTCTACGAACATTTCAAAGAGCTTCGTATCACTCTTTCTCAAAAGCTGTTTAAACAGGATTACAACATTCAAGGCCTTAGTAAAGTTTTCAAATAGTTTTGTGGTAGACATGATGGAGGATTTTTCCAAACGTAACGCATCAGTGACAAAAATGATGTCTGATGCAATTCCCTGTTTTGCCTGTACCATATGTTCCCGTGTTTGATGTTACACCTGTATCCCCGCTTCACTTAGAAACTGTTATTTAGGAGACAAACATAGTATGTTTGCAGTGTGGAGCCAGGTTACCTGTAGATTTAACCGCGATAAATATAATTTGGAACCGAACGCGTAGTGTGACGTTTCAAATGTTAAATTTAGCCAGCATGAGGTGGGCACCCTAAAGAAATCTAAGAAAACCTGGCAAAGGTTTCGCTCTATTATGACGTCATATATCTCATTGGGATGCAAAAGATTTGACGTTACAGTCGTACAAAGAAAAGCGCCAAAAAGCAAGTTCTCTGTCGTCCTCAAAGCTTGAAATACATTCTCCTTGCAGATTTCTATCGTGTTTTCTGCATGCAAATATTGCCACACATCCTTTGAATATAGTAGTAACCGCAGCTTTGCATTATGTAGCATATAATGGTACATGTGATTATTTAAATATGCCTTACGCCAAGGACATTAAAAGAAGTACTATTCCGAAAATATTAGCTTCCGTTTCCATCAGAGGTGGTTTATTGTGATTTGATACCTCTGGTTGACCAATCCAAATCGTGTATTGACCAAACTCATGGTAGAATTCAATATATTCAGCAGTGCTAACTTAAAATTCCGAAACACAGCCATTTAATTGTTCAATCGTTTTTCAGATGCCTGTTTTTTAGAGGTGACCGTGATGTAGTGGTAGAACGTCCGCCCGGAGAGCCGCGGACCAAAATTCGTTAAAAGATGGTACTTGTTGTTACCCTGGCGTTAAGGGGTTAAAACAAGAACTGGTCGCCTCGGAGTCAGTATACTGTATCTGAGTGGGTTATTCATGTGGCATGGTATCTCAGTGGGCTAGCACTATAAATCAGCATCAGTCCTGACTAGTACAAATGGCCACACACACACACACACACACACACACACACACACACACACACACACACACACACACACACACACACACACACACACACACACACATGGTATCCATTGGGAGACATATCCAAATTTGTGGCATCAGTGACAATAATGTTGTTCGATGAAATTCCCTATTTTGACTTGTACCTTATATTACCGTGTTGTTGTTTATTTTCAGTTGAACAATTGAAATGCCTTTGCTTGTGTTTGTGATGGCTGCCAGCGGTGGACCAGGATACGCTCACCTATTTGCGAACGTCTGATATGATCACAATTATATGGTGATTCATAAACACATGCTTGTGACATAAGAGAGACTGCTTTTGATTATAGAAATGATTTTGACACTTTCATTTATTGCGTATTTGATCGAATTGTATACGCCCCTTAGATAAGCAGAATTTTGACATGTCAGCTTCATATGAAAGGAAAGCACGAACCGATGCAGGTCTTAGTTTGGGTGAGT